TGGTCAACAATCTGAAAATTATAGCAATTATTCACAGAGACCATGTGGTCAATGCTTAGCAAATGAACGGTCTGACCTCTTTGGCCCGAAACTAATAGAATAAGCACAAGGAGTTTCAGTGTAAGTTACTTCAAGGACAATTTATCCACAGGGGATAAAGACTGAAGGTATGAAAGAACGATGGACACATCGTAAATTTCTGGGTACTTAGGTCTCGGTGGTTTTTCCTGGAAAATGCCTTTCATTAGCTGAGATACTAGAGGGTGTTTTCCTACGAATGTCCCATTTTCTAAAGTAATATAGCTAGACAAAGCACTTCGGGCTGTATTGATGGCACTGTATGTAAGGCCTTGCTGATATGGCAGGGTTAGAAAATCAAGCACAGACACTACAGATGGTTGAATGTGACTGATCTGCCTCTGATTACAAAACTTTTGCCACTTTGTAATGTAGGTACTGTACTGTTTCTTTGTTCCGTCTCTCCAGGAGGCCATGATGAACGTAGCAGCCGCCTCTGAAATTCCTCTATCCTGGATGGATTTCCAGACAGGAGACATGGCAGCATAGTCAATTTCCTCCTTAAGGGATGTAGTGTTTGAGGAGAGTGTGATAGTGAAAGTAGGTCCTCCTGCTTCGGCAAGACTAATGGGAATGCAATTAACATTTTTAGCAGTTGTGGCCACCAAACTTGAGTAGGTCAAACAGGTAGGATAATGATTCCCTGAGGTTCTTGTTCCTCCAAAAAAAAAATGTGTGAAATAGCACTTGAATTTAATGGATAAGTGTTGGAAATTGTACAAGAATAAAACGGTCATCTAGAAATTTTTAGCCGTCCTCAAGCGACACAAAATTCCAGGCATTATATTCTTCTCTGAACAGATATTTTACAGAAAACAATCGTTGGGTGCCCCCTGATTCTTCTTTCCTTCGCTACTCTAACTTAAGACGACAAACACGGGTTTGTGCCACGTTTCTCTCGGAATTGAGCAAACCGCGTCGGATATTCTAAACAGGCCAAACATCACGTATTTTAAAGAAATAAACAGACAGTACTCACACAAGATCCGCTCCTGGGCTTTTCCGTAGGTGGTAAGGGACACGTGCTGTCCTGCTCTCTCCAGTTAGTGCGAACTCGTGAAGAAGGCATAGGCCTCGGCAAGGAATTCTCTCAGGCTTGCCGGTAGCTCTTGAAGTCCGATGGAGTAAGGTTTGCTCCCTGGAACTAGGGCTCCGCTATCTTGGTCGTCCGATTCAGATGACGAGGAGAAAATTGGTAAATCGGGGCACCAGCGGCTGTGCTTGGCATGATTTCGGAGCCACTTGACGCAACGTCTGACAAGCGTGGTCGTTTGCTGGCTTCGCTATCTTGGTCTTGGGATTCAGACGACGAAGAGACGTAAATCAAGGCACTAGCTGATGTGCTTGCGATGATTTCGAAGTCCCTTGACACACCGTCTGACAGAAGAGGTAGTCTGCTGAATTTGTTGTCTTGCTCTTCGAATTTGGATGACGACTCGACGTAAATCGGGGCAGCAGCGGCTGTGTTATTAGCAATGATTTCCAAGTCACTTGACGCATTGCCTGACAGGTGTGTTCGTTTTACTTGCAGAGGTAGAAGAACCTGCCTCGTCGCTTGCGCTGTCTGACTCCAGGGCCAAGACGCTGTTCTGGTCACTGTGGTCGCTTTGATCCTCCTCTGCTGGCGTTTCAAAGAGGAATTCTGAAGCACTGAGTGGAGAAAGCTTTGACGATGAATACACATATGTTTGATCCAAGTCTTTTTCGTCTTCGCTTAATATCAAATCGTACTGGACGATGGTGACAAGTCTGCTTTCCACAGCTACGGGACTGAAGGTTGAATATGCAGGGTAATAAATCACCAGAAATCAGAGAGGTTCTGCGCGTGTCGGCCTCTGTCCAATGTGTGAGAGTACTGCGGATGGGTTGTGATGTTGTGATCACGGTGAAACAATGGCTTGTCCCCAGGCGTATCCCTTGGGAAGGGACAAAAGTATGCTTCCAGAGCGAATCTTTCGATCCATTTCTTCGTAAATTTGAACTTTTTTGTCCTTATTTTCGTGACGCATCGAATTTAACCGAGATAGAGAGATAGACAAATCCTTTTATGGCCTGAAATAAACCTCGGTAGCTACATAAATAAACCCAGCCCGCTTCTTGCACTTCAAATCCTTTTCGCCCTCAACTGAAGCTGATCTGTCGGTTTTAATTTGGAAAGGAATGCCTCCATCTAAAAAGAAACGGCGACCAGCTACAAATGTCACAATCAAAGTCCTTGGTGGAAACAGAGGCTGTAGAAAGCGGGTTAGCACTTAATTTCTTTTTTTATAATTTTTTCTGGAGAAACCAGGTCGTTTAATAATTTATTGTCATCATCGTCGTCGCTATTTTTGGTCTTGTAGCTTTTTTTCTCTCTCTTGTTTTTGGTAGTCGACCTCACTCGAAAAGGCCGAACAAAAATGTATAGTGAGCCCATTTGATTTTTCTTCTTCGCGTCCAGTACAGATCCATTCTCGTCCCCAGAGCCCGTCGTTTCTTGGTCACGTGGTCGGGAAACGAGGGGCTCTGGAAGCAGCCGTTACCGGATGTCAGAAAATTTCAGAAGTTACAAATATCACTGCTCATGCTCTTAACGGATTTTTGTCCCTCACCGCTCTACTGGGGGAAAAATTTTACTTCCTGAGCTCTCTACAGAGAGTGGCTTCTTTGAATGTTTTGAAAATGTACCACTTCACTCAACTTGGATTCACTGATAATTTGGAGAATTTGAAGAAGACAGTAACAGAAACCGGCAGAACTCACCGTTGGTTTGCAGAACTTAGGCAATTAATCGGCAGACTATCGTCTGAGTTATGTGAAAGCAATATCGCGAAGATCGATATAATGCCGGTAAAAGTCAATCTAAAAAAGTATCTTGTTTCATGTCCTGCAACTGCTATCTTACTTCAAGCAATTTTTGGTCTTAAGTAAAATATACACCTAGAGCTTTTATTGGCTCGTCCGGCCATTTAATACCGAATGGTTTTTCTTTATAATGTCTCTTAGATCCAATCCATATACCTTCAGTTTTTGAACAGTTAATCTTGAGTCCAGAGAGAATGTCGAATTTGTTAAGTAGTTCAAATAATCTTGCGGCCGAGCTTGTGTCAGCTAACACAGCGGTTGTATCGTCTGCAAACTGTAAAAGCTTAGTTTCCTCAGTTCCTATTGTGATTCTTTTAATTGACAGGTTTTTGTAATGTATAATTTTTTAGTTCCCTTAAAATTCATTATTTTGTGTTATAACATGAGGCCTCCAACTGGGAAAAAGGTTCAACCAGAACTGAATCATTGATCAGTGGAAGCAAGTTTCAATTTGGCTCATCATTATTTGTCAATAACCAAGTAAACTAAGATGCCCTATGCTTCAGTAAGCCAATGCTGTGTGCAAGCTCAAGGAGGGGTGGAGAGCAGGTGTGGTTAGGATTGGCGAGTAAACTATGATATTGCTGTTGATCAAGCTATAATGTTATCCACCCTATCAAAGGTGACATACTGCAAAATCCAGTTGTTATCATCAACAACCACTTACCACAGTATGATGCAAAATAGACTACTCTAGGCTGTTGTTCATTTATCATTTTATTTATTAACACCCCCGTTGTCCCTGACATCGTCAAAAAATCTAGACCAGTTTTCACATAATGTATGCCTAGTATAAACAGTCAGGGTTTCTTGTATTATATAATTCTTAGACCAAAAAGGTTGAGAACATTGTGCTACCCTATGTAATGATCAGATAACATAATTATTTATCACGAAAAATTATGGAAAAGCTGCTGCTTTGTTAACTCTTCATCAATCATAAATAACCCCAGAGCCCCTTGTTTATCTTTGTCTAAATGCCACACGACTGGAAGCCAAGCAAGGACTGTTAGGATGAGAATATCTTCTTGCAAAACAATTGTAACAAGTCGGCCATATAGCCTTTCCTTTCACAGCCCAATTCTTACTGTTAAAATAAAAATTAAAAGAAAGCCTCCGATTTATCTAAGCATGATTTAAGCATTAATTAAGTGGAAGAAAACGTGGATTGGAAAGAGTACTTGCTCTATCATCTTTACACAATTAAAAAATTGTCTTTTGCATGCAGCCCAAAATGATTCATAAGCAATTCACACTGAATTCAGTTCTGGCTTTGTGCACTGCCATCAGTGGTCTAATGAAATAAAGGCTAGCAAAGGAGATGTTCTTTCAGCAGAAAATACGATAAATTAAAAGCACACTGCAATAAACTTAACGTACATATCATTTCTGTAATGTAGTCGGAGCTTGATTTCCTTTCCTACTGTAGCACCGACGAATATCCAGAGGAATTAGAAAAACTGATTAAGCTAATTAATAACGCCATGTATAAGTACAGTATCAATCGCTTGATTTTTAACGAGCAAGGCGCAACAGTAAGAGCTAACTAACCATTACTCCTCCTTTCAGTTTCCCAGGAGATGCGACGGTCGAGACAGGCAAAGTTTAGCGCACAACGGAGGCAATACTTTCTTTGTCAAGGCTCGTTGTCTTCGTAGAAACTTCTCAAACTTTACCTGCACTTCTCTTCTTCACTGCTATTGCATATAAACAAAACAGGATTGTTGCAATCAACGAAACTCAGACACTGACTTTATGTTTGCAGGTCGAGAAGGCACGGAGTAAAATGTTATGCGCAGTAGATTATATTTTTAATTTGCTTTGCGCATTCAATTGCGTTTAGCCAATGTTTTCCGTTGCGTCCAGAGCCACTGGTCGGTTACAAATTAAGCCGAGTGGCTCTGGCGCCGAGAATGGTACCGGTGTGCGACAAACGCAGACTGCAGACTTGCAGACCGCAGACCTGCAGACTTGCAGACACGTTCGGAACTCATGGGGGGGATAATTGCCCCCGCAGGGATCTCCCCTAGAGGGCAAAATCCCGAGGGGGCACTCTAGTAACTCGGGCGTATATTAAG